GAAGGAAGGAAGGAAGGAAGGAAGGAAGGAAGGAAGGAAGGAAGGAAAGCAGTTGAAGTACAACAGGGACAATTTATATATATAATATTGCATTGAAATGGTTGTTTCCAAAAAGAGAATCCATTGAAATGAAGGAAAATAGTTTCATCCGAGCAGAGATTGATTTCTTGTGATACATTTTCTTGGTTTATCTTCAATCTAAATAGTAAGTTCTGCTATCATTATGCCACTAAATGCATAAAAATAATTTGTTATTTAAAATCCAGTTGGAATTTTATACAGTATTTTGTCGCTAACCGGGATTTTTCTCCCCTCTCCATATTAATTCGTTTACATAAACCATAGATGAAGAACTGGATTGTTTTAATTTTTAATGCTCTTGTGTATGTTTATATGTAGTATGAATAAAGAAGGAAGCAGAAAGTCATTTATTATATGCTCTTCCTTGTTGTAATTGAGTTTCAGATCAAATGTGTAATGTAAACATGAACAATGAGCACGAAGGCTGGTCTTTACATGCAGAACATGCTGTAGGAATCCAAGATTTTGCAGAGTAAAAGCAACAGGATCCCTGGACAGTAAAAAATAAATCCATAAGAATCTGGAAGTAACTTAACATATTTGGCAGGAAATACTCCAGCCTAATCGTATTCCTGCTGTTCTTCCAGTGATCTCAAATCATGATATTCAAATTGTTTTAAACCATTTTATAAAGGATTTCAGCATATCATCATGTGGATTAAACATTTTTAACCTAAGATACAAATCCTACTTGAGATAATTTATACTTCATGCAGAATTTCTTTGGACCCTTGTCTACATCCTTTAGAAATCCTTTATTGGCTTTGAATCAGGCCACTTCAGACAGGAGGAAGGGGCAAGAAATTTTCTATCCTGTTTTATTTTAGAATCCAAAAGTATTTTTTAAATTAGTTTATAGTATAAAAGACAAAAATACAAAAGCAAATAGTAGAACATTGAGCGGAGGGGACGGGAAGAAAGGGGGGAAAGGAAAAAAAAGGCATCGACTCTGTTACAATATAATAAGGCATTAATAGTGAATCTCAACTTTTTACTTTTCCATAATATATAAACTAGAAATTTCTATAACAACTAATAACAACAATAACAATCAACTTAATCAGTAAAACCCAAAAGAATCTAACTCCTTTTGTTTCTACTTGGAAACCACTTCTTGACTTTGTGCTTGAGGTGGAAAAAAAATGAAACTTAGAATCCAAAATTGTTAAAACACACCCCCTATGTCAAGGTGATACATATTTTAATTAAATGCATAGAAGATAAGAGCCACTGCAGAAGAAAACAACATTAAAGAAACTTCATTTAAAAGCAAAAAGCTTTCATCTCTATGCAGATAAAAAGGACATAAATGAAGCAAACAAATGTTAAAAAGTTATGATATTTATGCAGTTACTTACGAAGCACATCTAAATTATATTAAAGTAACCAAAATATCTTTACAGCCCCCAAGGCATTTTGACCATTTCTAATGTTTGAAAATTGAAAAAAATCTGACACACCATAGTTACTGTTGCAGTAATTTAAGCGATACTTTAAACACCATAAATGTCTTAAGACAATTTACCTTAGTTAGTTTTTTTAAAAAAAATTAAAAAGCAATATTACCACCCTAAATTCTGAAGATTAACACAAACTACTTCTTCAGATGGAAATAACAGATTCATACTTTGGTTGCTGAATTCTGTCTCTGGAGGATAAGATGATTCAGGGGCCAAAGAAATCTCATGTAAATTGATTGGGATGGGGTTCACTGTGGAAAACTTGGTTTGCTTTAACTGGTTTCGAAGCTGGGAGAGGAAAAAATAAAATAAAATAAGTATTTGAAATTTTAACTTCATATAAAATTCTAAACAAAAAGTTTAAACGGTTATGCAGGTAATATTTACATGAATCAGGAATGGACAGTGAATAGTTTTAGGAATAAATTGTCTATTTTTGGAAGATCAGTTTCACATATCTTTACATGAATGTATGAAGAAAATATGTAAAGATAAACTCCTAACAAAAAGCTGTTAGAAATGTTCATATTTTGGGCTATTTTATATGTCTCCTTATTTATTTATCAATATATAAAATAAAACTGAAACAATGACTAATAAGTAAAACCATTTATTTTTTATTTATAACAATACAATTAAATACCCACATTTTCTGGAGCCTGGTCTGCCTTAACTTGCTGGTCTTCAATCACCTGTTTTTCAGGTTTGCTGCTGATATCCTAATCAATATGGATACATAAATTGTAAAATATTAGTTTGTGATACATTGTGGTCAATTAATTGTATGAACATTAAGCAATTGCCATGCTGCTGCTTCTGTTGAGGCAACAAGCTGATATTTGGTTTTCAGTCCAGGAGTAACCACTCATTGCCATTGTCCTGTGACTAAGGATTTATCAAACTTGACCTGTAACATTCTCTAAGATAAATATAAAATATAAAATTTGATTAAACATTTATTTGCCTTGAACTAAATTATGAATCTAACCCATTTTATCTGTATTTGTTTGAATGTAACTTGTGCATTTGAATATATCCATCCATCAATGCTTGACACTCAAATTTGCTTGCCCATTTGGAAAGGATCCTAAAAGTATAAGTATTTTTTTTTATAAGGGCAACCTGGGCTACCCAAATACGGGATGGAGCATACTGCTTCTGCTTTCACCTTTTGGCCCCAATCCAGAAGCCTCCGCAGGCGGTTGCTTTCATTAAAAGCTATTTTTATGTTACATTTATATCTACCAACAAAGAAGTAAAGGGAGACTAGTATAGATCTATTTCAAGCTATTTCTCTCTCGTCAGCTACCTTTCTGGGATTCAAACCCAGGACTTCACATATTCCCAGAAGGGTTTGTCTAGCTGATGAGAGCTAAATAGTTTGAAATAGATCTATACTAGTCTCTGTTTATTTCTTTGTTGGTAAATACTGTATAAATTTAACATATCCTAAAATCATAGTACTTATTTTGAGGATTTTAAGGATAGCATGATTAGAAGCAGTCTAATGAATATAACAGTAACAACTACATTACTATTTCTAGCTTGAAAAGTGATGCATTAATTTTAATGGTTACTGTTAGGCCAAGTGAAACCCTGATTCCATACTAGCTTTACTGTCAGTATAACTGTTTAACATTTTCTTCTTTTGATGTATCAAATATCATTACTTGTACAATCTTAATAGGAATATTAATGTGAACATATTTTGAAAGTTTCCCACCCTACATGTTATAGTTCTCATTTAAAACTTCACTTCCCATATCTGATGGCATAATATTTTTAGAAATCTAAGTGTAGCTGTTAATCACATTTTAAAAGCAGAGGCTGATATGATCCTTACAGATATACTTTAGAGATATACTCAGGCAGGCTGGCAGGCAATCGATCATTCTTTTTCCTTCAGTTATTGAAATTTCTTTTATAAGCAATGTATACTTTGATAAATACTGTGGAAAATAATTCCCTTTTCTGCAATCACGTTGACTGATAATTTTCTCTTTGTACCCATATGCCTCTGTTGTGTTATTCACACAGCCAAACAAGTTTAGGTGCTATGCAAATTCAGGAAGACATCCTGCTTTAAGTAGTGCAAAGAGATTCTACATTCATCCACTAGAAACAAGGTTTGGTGATAAATTAAAAGAATTTTCAAATCATATCAGATTCACTGATTATAATCCATTTCTGGTCATACTTGTAGAGACTAATAATAATGCAAAGAACAGCTTCAACCTCTTATCACCAAGGATTATGGAAATCTCAGGAGGAAGTTGAAGATCCTAGAGATGTAGGTGGCAATTCTGTTCATTTTTCAAAGAAGGCTACTGACAGACGGTATACTATTATACTAATATAATATAATATAATATAATATAATATAATATAATAATAAATATAATATAATATAATTAATATACTATACTATACTATACTATACTATAATATTATAGACTATCTACTATTGACCTCATCCCTTTCCTAAGAGGTCTGTAGGGGGCGTGCATAAGCGCACCACCGTGCCTACTGTCCCTGTCCTCTTGTTTCTTTTTATTTTTCTTATATGTATCCATTTCATGTATTTATAACTATGTTTATACTTATACTTGTTATCTTATAATTGCTTGACAAATAAATAAATAAATAAAATAGAATATAGTGTTGAGAGGGATTTAGTTTCTATCAGCCTCAAACTTTAGTCCTGCTTTTTCACCCTCCTCTTTGTACTTTCCGTATTAGAGCATGGTTGTGTGTGTGCACGCATGCCTTCAAGTTAGTGTTGATTCACAGTGACAACATGGACATGTTCCTGAAGTTTTCTTGGCAAGATTTCAGAAATGATTTTCCATTGCCTTCCCTAGGGTGGAGAGAAAGTGACTGGCCCAAGGCTACTTAGCTAGCTTTGTGAAGGAGAATTCAGTTTCCCAAACTGCAGTGGTGGTATTCTACCAGTTCTACCCAGTTCTGCTGAGCCAGTAGTGGTGATGAACAGTGGAGACTGAACCAGTTCTCTCTGCCGCTCTGCTGTTCGGCCCACTCACCTGCCCGGGCTCCCATACTCACATTTATCCTCTGCTTTTGAAGCACAGCTGCTTTGTGCGGCACAGCAGAGTGCTGCGTGGCAGCTGCTGAAGTGACCAGGAGAGTGCAGGCTTGCAGGAGGCAAGTTAGAACACCTCTGAGCCTGCACAAACGCCTCTCTGCCTGCACAAAGTGCACGTTTGGTGCACACACGCACACAAAGTGTGTGCATGCATGCAAAGCGTGCCCACCAAGCCACATCCACTGAACCAGTGGTAAAAATATTTGAATCCCACCACTCCCAAACTGGCTCTTGAATTTTTTTAAATTTTCAGAAGAATTGTACTCTAGGGTATAGAAGTACCTGGTAATCTGGCTGAACCTTACGTATTACCTCAGAGAACGGCTAGTGAATTGGTGAAATGCTAGACAACTGGAAAAAGTTATTTCCTTCACAAAGAGAAGAAAGGAGAATCCAGGAACTAGAAGTATAGCTTCTAATTTTTTTTAAAAAGTCACTGTAGTTTGAATTGGTAAGATCATTCTTTAGTACTTTGACCAATTCTGGAACCTCCAGGGGATCCTTAAAGATTTAGAGCAAAGGTCTTCAAACTTGGCAAGTCTTAAATCTGTCAAGTTTGAAGACCCCTGATTTAGAGAAATAACCAGTTCAGAGAAGGGTAACACAAATGATTATGACAATAGAAATTAAGTCCTATGAAGGACTTAATTAAGGACTAAGTATGTTCAAATGACTGAATAAGAAAATTACAACATTTTTCAAAATCTGCTTCCAACATGGTAGAGCATGGGATACACAATAATGAATTAAAGTTACAGGAAGGCAGATTCTGACACAATGTTAGAACAATTCCTAAAAGACCAGTTAGATGGGAGAGCCAATTGCTCTGGAAACTGACAACTGCAAATAGACTATAATAGTACACTGGGCAGTCTGGTTGAACTTGATGGACAAAATGACTTTCCTAAACAGGATTCTATGTTTGTGTCTATGGAGATTCTCAATCATCTAGGTCATGATTGTCCCAAATATGCTTTTTCAAAAGGCAACTGGACTTTGTTTTTTCTTGTAGGACATTTCTCTTTTTATCCAAGAAGCTTTTCAGTTCTGACTGAATAGTGGAGGATGAAGGGATCTATATTCTTTGCAGTCAGGTGGTCATTAGCTGTCATTCTGAAGATCATTGAAGCCACTTGGATGTTTATCTGCTTTCTCTATGTGGACTATGTAGAAAAGAGGAGATAGGTGGAGTTGTACCTCTACCCCTCGGATGAGAGAGGGCTGTTCAACCTTAATGAAGATGGCCTCTTTGATTGCTCTTTCAAACAAGGGGTCTGGAATGTAGATTTTGCTCTCTTCAAAAGAGTGATCTTTGTCTTTCAAATGCAGATGGACTGTTGAATCTTATCCTGATGGGTTTGTTCTTCTGTGTTGTGCCATCCGTTTGTGAAGTGGTTGTTTTGTTTCTTCAGTGTACAGATCTGTACACGTTTCTTTGCAGTCTACTGCAGGTACCACATTGCTCAGTTTGTTTCTGGGTGTTTTATCTTTCTATGTATGATTCCAGGTATGAGGAAACCTTTGATAATGTGGTCAGAGATAGTTCCAGGCAGAATCTGGAAAGTGCTGTTATCATTTTCAGCCGCCTTCATCCATTTTGCTGCTACTACTCTTTCTTTTGTCATCTTCCTCCCACAACCACATCACACAGTTGCTTTTTTCTTGGCTCCCTCCTCACTGTTTGCACTACTGCTCTGCTTTTTTTTTTTTCATCCTCTCTGCCTGATGGCATGAAAGAATGCACCGTCAGAGCCAGTCAGGAGCTTTCTCTAGCTGCCAACAGAAAAACTGCAGTTTTGCACATACTAAAATCTTTGTTTCTTCAAATGGTGATTTCTGGTTTTATAGTAAAAGAACATCTGATCCAATAGAAAACTATAGTCTTCTGTCATGCATGATGTCCGAGAATTGTGCTTGGTGTAGAAACTGACTTTAAGAAGACCAAGCTTCAGCTCATTCTGGATAAACAGCAGCAATAATTTGGAAATTCTTCTGAGTTTCTTTGTTTAATGCAGGTAGTTTTTGAATTACAGCCATAGTTTGATGATGCTAAACAAAGGGACTTATAACTGGTCCTTGGAGTTATGGCCATTGCAGTGACCCTGCAGTCATGTGATTACAATCTGGATGCTCAGTGCCAATCTCATGATTGCAAAATCACAGCAAGCTGTTGCTCATGGTTTCTGACGTTTTCTGCTGGCTTCCCATAAGCCAAGTCAATGGGGACGCAAGCAAGATTCACAAGTTGCTTCTCCCACTGCTCCTTTTTCATCTACCCTACTCTGTAGTGCCTGGACACAGCCTTCCCCTGCCATCCATGGCAACTATCTGCCCACAATTCTCATCTGCAGGTCTGCTTAACTAGAATTCTTGCTTCTTCCTGAATGACCTACAGTTACAATGACAATTGGGACTGCCATCACTAAATTATATGATTACATGATGTTGTGATTTATGACTTAGTGACAGATTTTTCTGGTTCCAGTTACAGTCATAACCTGAATTTAAATGATGTCCCATTCTTGCTAATTATACATTATAGGATAACTTCATAAAAATCCACAGAAATTATGTCGGGCCATATTTGACAATGAAATTATGTTTGTGAATGTACATAACCTAGTCATTCCACTTTTGAATATGTAGATTACATGCTATTATTATTTATTATTATTATCAACATTTATTATGGCTTCCCACTTGAAAAGATTCTAGATAGCTTACTGTCTGTTTCTCTGTCTCCTTCCTAAGGCTGAGAGAAAGTGTATTTTAACTCCCAAAGAAACTTTGCCTAAATATCAGTTTTAAGGTATTGCTGCTATCAAATGAAATAATTTTGACTTACTTTAAAAAAAAATCAATATAATATCACAAATGCAAGTTTTCTGTCCAAATGATCTCTGTCTTTAATGGCTCTTAACTTACATTGTGGAAATGTTCATTCATTGATTACACCACTTAGTAACTGTTCTTCCTGTAGCCAAAGGATATTTTCTAATGCTCACTGCTAGGGGTAGCAGAGGATTTAATTATATACATGTTTGAGATTATAGAAAGCTAATTATGATTAACTGTTCTCATTTATAACACACTGGAAAGCATCTTACCTCATTGGAAGACTGAGTGCAAGAGGGTAATGGAAAAGGAGCTACAGCCATCTGGTTAAATGCATCCTCATTGCTAACAGCCAAGAGGAAAAAAAAATTGATTAGTCAAACTAAAAGGACAACTTACATTCAATCTCCCCCTCTGCCCTTTCTCTAATGAATTATAGTTGTTTATCATATTTACAATTTCCTTTCCTCATTTCAAAATACTAACCAAATTGCTATGTCATCTGTGTTTAATATTTGCCTCCAAAACAATGAGAAGAGCATCTAAAAAGCAAAATTAAGAATGTATTCCTGTCCCTCCATGCTGATTTACAGCAAGGTAATTAAGATGCTGGATATATAGATACCATTATTTGGAGAAATGTAGTTCATTTCCATATGTTCAGTTGCAGACAATTAACACAAGACCCTTATGACAAAACAAGGGATATTCCCCAAAGGATGGTGTGGATGCTCAGAACAATCCTATTTCAAAAGGTCTTCCTCTCTGGATTATTAGATAAGGATTGGAAAAAGGATTTGGAATTTTGTATGTTGACTATGGTGAGAATTTTATATGCCCATAAGACATGATGAGTGAACACATACTTGTTTATTGTCAACCAAGAAAGAACAAGAAAACATATAATAGCTAAGAATGCCAGCAAATAGAGAAAAGGAAGAAAAAGAAGACGATGGTATTTAAAGAAGAATTTACAAACACCAGAGCATTCAAGAATAATAATGGAAGAGATTTAATAGAGGCAAATTAAATTAAGGAAAGACTCTTAGAAATGGGAGATGAAACCTTTTACAAATTGAACTGTAGACAGGCATTCTTACGGAACTTTTTAAAGAGGTTTTTTTAAAAGAAATACAGTATTCGGTATTCCGGAACTTGTTTCTGCTAGAAAACAAAATGGCACAACGGGCAACAGTGTCACAAGGAGTTGAGATGAAATTTTATTATGTTTAAATTTAATACATTTATATGGCTACCCATCTCATTTGCATGAGTCTTGGTGGCTTAGAAAAACAGAAAGGAAATATTGTATAATTAAAGAACCAAAACTGAAAAACAGCAGAAACAACATAAAATAGCATAACACCCCCCAAAAATAAATGATTGAGCTGCTTATAGCTGCAAAGGTGTTAGCTAAAGTGCCAACAGCTCTAACTTGATAAATGTGGACAGGACTACCACATGGGCTAGAGACTGGAAAAGATCACTGTATATAACACAATAGATACAAACTCAAGGTAAACCACACCAAACTTGATTGCAGGAAATACGACTTCAGCAACAGAGTGATCAATGTCTGGAATACACTACCTGACTCTGTCGTTTCTTCCCGAAATCTCAAAAATTTTACCCTTATACCGTCTACTGTTGACCTCACCCCATTCCTAAGAGGTTTATATGGGGCATGCATAAGTGCACCAATGTGCCTACTGTCCCTGTCCTAATGTTCCTTTTTATTCATATCCATTTCATGTATTCATAATCATGTTTACACTTATACCTGTTATCTAATGCCTCCTTGACAAAATAAATAAATAAACAAATAAATAAACAAACAAACAAATAAATAAATAAATAAGTTAAAGAAGGGAGTTGCACGAGAAGAGTCTAACTGAACCATGGCAATACTTCTCATGCCTACAATGTTTTGAATAAGATCTTGCACAGAAGAAAACATCCATGGTTGATGAGAGAAAAGATAAATGAATGGGCAGAAAGCCATGAGATCAGCTGGCTAGCTTTAGCTGGATCAAGGGGAGAGCAAGAATGTTTAAGGAGGAAATTAACCTTTGCTTTATTGATGCAGCCAGGCCTTTGATCACATACATCATGCCAGAAGATGGAATATATTAAGATTATGGATGTGCATTCAAGATTTCATTCAGAAATATCTTGAATGAGAAACTACTGTAAGAACTGAATGCTGTACAAAGCTTCAGAATAATAATTTTTTTTAAAAAAAGGATATAAGGGAAATAAGACAGGAAATCATTAATCTCCAAATTTGTTTATAGTACAGCAAGGTAAACATGGCAGAATTGGAAGAAATTGAAGCAAATGGGAGATTTTCAGCCAGATTTAGAGGATAGAGGTTTATCCTAGACCAGTGGTGGCTAACCATTTTGGGCTCCTGTGCCAAAAATTATGTGCGTGCTTGCATGCTCACACTCGCCAGCACCCAGAAGGCAATGCGCGCCCCCCATGCCCCCTATACAGGCACGTGCAATCCCCACCCACCCATCCCACTGCCTCCTTACTTGCACTACACCTTACAGCTGATTTTCAGTGGGTTTGAGGCCTTTTACGGTCTCCCAAAGGCTTGAGGAAGGCTTCTGCAGGCTTTGCAGACCAAAAACTAGCCCCATTTCATCACTTCCGGTATTTTTCTAAAACAGGAAGTGATGAAACGGGACTAGTTTTCATCCTGCAGTCTCCAGAAGCCTTCCTCAAGCCTTTGGGAGGTTGAAAAAGGCCTCAAACCCACCAAAAATCAGCTGTGAGGTACGTACATTGCAGTGAGGTAAATTTGCCTGCAGCTTGCGTGCCGGCACAAATGGTACGCGTGCCATAGGTTCACCATCACAGGCCTACACATTAATGAAGAACTAATTGATTGATTATGGACAAAAACAAAGTGGGTGGACTAACTGTTCCTTTGAGAAAATGATCAACAGCCAGAAATTCAAACATTTCGAGCATCTGATGCAAATGGAGGATGAAAAGTGGAATATGGAGTAGAAAAAGCAAGATTGAGAGAAGTAAAAAAAAAAGAGATAAATATAATGAATAAAGTAAATGAATGGAATCAAGGAATGTCATTAGAAAAACTATGCATATTCACTAGAGTCATATGATTGGCCCGGTCAGAATCTCATTCAATGGCTATAAACTAAATTTGGACATGAGGTTCTAAGAAGGAAATTAAAGAAATATTAGACAGACCCAGGATGCAACTCAGTCATTCTCTTTGATTCATGACTCCTGCTTAATGAGCAGCTGGCAATAATGACTAGGAGGGAATGTGCACAGTTTTGTCTTGTGTGTCAGTCTGCCTGTTACCCTGCTAAGAATCACTCATGCCAGATTGGACTACTAGAGTTGCATTCCTCATAGAGATGACCTTGAACAGCTTCAACTGATACAGAATGGAGCAGTGTGGACAATTATATGCATTCCTAGAACATTAAAACTATTCGTTGCCAATTTGCTTCTGGGTCCAATTCAAAGAGAGGAAGGAAGAGAATGAGGGAGGGAGGAGGAAGGCAGGCATATAGCTTTCATATATGCAGAAAAGTTCTATGTGTTGGAAAAATCAGACAAAATACTTTTCACTTGGAAGTCAGTGATATGCATTGGGAACAAAAACTGCAAGATTTCTCCGAGGCAAGATGAACAACTCTCTATTGGATTGCCATTTTGAGCAACAGCTGCATGTCTGGGGTGACAAATGTTTAATGTATTCTTGGCATCTGCCATTTTCCATCTCCATTAAAACTGCATTGTGTGTGATTTTAAACTGGCAATACTCTTTAATCACATAAAGTCAAATTCATCATCGAAAGAAAACAAAATTTAGGTCAAAAGTTTCTCATTGTCTAGTTGGTTGCACTTGTTGAGATTTTGATGTCTGCTTCAAACAAAACTGTTCCATTACACATATATTTTAAACAGTAAAATAAGCTATCTTTTGTAGAGCAAAAATGAAGCATTTGCCTTTTGTTTTCCCATTCTGCAACTATTAAGCAATATAAAATTAATGACTGAATTATGAGAGGAAAGAGAAGTTATTCATGAACTATCTTTGATTTTCTTTAAAGTTAAAATGTTAAAATAAAAAGGAAAGGAGCTAGGAGCCCTTTGATCTTATATTTAATTCAAACATTTTGTTTAGGCAGACATCACTTTCCTAAGGTTATTTTGAGCATGCCCAGATCTCTTTATTGCAAAGAGAACATCAAATCTCATTGCTAACAAATGAACATGTTTTGTGTCATTCCCCCTAGTTTCTACTATCTCCTTCCAATTCCTAAACTTGCCAAACAACATTAATGATGAGATGGAATTCTCATGAATAGAGTGATAGTAATTAGGTTTCCATCTTGACATCCTACCAGGGACTCCTTTTGGCCTGTGAAATTTTCTCCTTTGAGAAAATGGACAAAATGCTGCCTAGATTGTCCTCTGCAGATATAGCAAAATTCCTGTGGCTGAGCATATTTGCCCATATGGTGACAGGGAGATTGAAAACTTCTTACATATTGTAAATTTTACAGACATTAGAATGATTAGATTAACCTACACATTGTATCTCTAATAGATAAAAGATTCTTCCTTTGCAGTTATATTCCAATTTAAATACATAAGAAAAGCAAACATATTTAGAGTTACAACAGGACCAAATTTCTTTTGGTTGTTTAATAATTGCATCACTAGTAGGCACAATGAACGCATCCAATTCTGTATATCTGTTTGCCACACTTTCTCCCAACCCATTTCTCAATTAAGCAGCAGGGAGTAAACTTTTGTACATGACATTTAATTTTCAATAACTGTGTAAAAGGAAAAGGAGGCTGGAAATAAGATCATTAATCATCCAGTCTTGGAATAAAAAGCGGAGAGGGTTTATTTTAATAGTACTGCTTTTCCTTTGTAGTCATGATCTGTCCATAGTAGAGTTTAAGATTTAACTATATATTAAGTTATATTTCAAAACGTGTAAAGATTAACTCAGCAACAGTATTTACCATACTTGGTATTATTCTTTGGGCAGTATTAAAATCTGAGTATTGGAAAGAGACTCAGAAACACCCCTCTTCCATTATTTTTTTCCAAACAAGAAATAAAACTAACATTGATGGTGTTACCTAGTTTGGCTAATGAAATGTCTGCAAAAAACCCCTCACCAAGCTCAAAGAGCACCAAGGACCCCTCATTTCAATCCTGAACTACCAATGTTCTCCTTTATAAGAAACAAAATGTGTAGACTAGCCTTCAACAATTGGCTGGTAGGTACAATACATCTGAAAGTACCGGGTGAGGGAAGAATGGCAAAAAATTGTTTTGACATTTTCCTAAAAAACAGTATCTAATTCTGGCTAAAAGCCAAATATGCAATACAAAACAAATAAATAAACGTACTTTTAAATGTCATGTACAAAATACGTTTTTTGTGTTTTTCTTCAACTGCAAGCCACTCAGAGTTGTTACAACATGTAACAGTTAAAACACATATGGTGAATAATATAAATGACAATGAAATAGAAGTTTATTGTTTACTTATATAAGTAAATAAAATTATGAAATGACACAATATATTAAATCAAAAAAATCCCCTCAAAATAAATTGGGTTTTAGACCAGTCCATCAGACATGTGACTAGTCTGATCTCCACAAGGAGGTTATTCCAGAACATGCTGCTAATGTGCTTCAACACTGGAGGTTTTTAAGAAAGAATTGGACAACCATTTGTCGAAAATGATATCGGGTCTCTTGCTTGAGCAGGGGATTGGACTAGAACTGTGATGGCGAACCTATGGCACGTGTGCCGTAGGCGGCATGCAGAGCCATTTGTGTTGGCATGCGAGCCGCAGGCAAACTTACTTCAATGCTCATGCGCATGCCTCACAGATCATTTTTGGCCAGTTTGAGGCCTTTTCCGCCTCCCAGAGGCTTGAAAAAAAAGCCTCTGCAGGCTGAATAGGCCCATTTGTCACTTCCTGTAATACCAGAAGTGATGAAATGGGCCTATTATTTGGCCTGCAAAGGCTTTTTTTCAAGCCTCTACAGGCTGGAAAAGGCCTCAAACCAGATGAAAATCAGCTGTGAGGCACAGTGCAGGTGGGGGGAGGGGCAGCAGGGGAATTTAGTGCGCATGCGCATGGGGCATGGGGGGTACACATTGCCTTCTGGGTGCTGGTATGTGAGCATCACGTGCCAGCGCACATACAATTTTTGTCACAGAGGTCCCAAAAGGTTAGCCACCATTGGACTAGAAGACCCTTCCAACTCCATTCTCACCACCTTCCACTTCATATAAGTATGGGACCACCAGCACCTGATCCCCACAAGATCTAATGGACCAAGACAAGCCTGGTGAAGGTGAAGGGTCTGGAGAAGGTGCTTCTGCAGATACCCAGCTAAGCCTTGAATGGCTTCAAAGATCAACAGCATCACCTTAAATTATCTAGAAACTGGTGTGCATGTGCACACCCGCAAACAACTTCACACTTTCTTAATAGTTCCAGAAATATAGAGAGAAAATTCAGCTGTTTACTTATTTCTCCATCCCAGAAGCTTTTTTTTTTTGAGAATCCTGTTTTGAAGACAGCAAAGTCCACATTTTGGATAGAGAGGACTGCTGGTTTGAAAGAGGGGTCAAAGAGGCCATCTATGTCAAAATTAAACAGCCCTCTCCCAACAGAAGGAGAGAAATATGACATCATCTATCTCCAGTCCAGAACATAGTCCTTTCAACAGTTCCAAGAAGGCTGCACACCCATTTGCACTACTCATGACCCTGATGATACTGATAAACCTTCAGGTGGTCTCAACAACATCCTAAAACACAGATGTCAAACTTGTGGCACCATGTTGCCCTCACGTGATATTTCATGGCTTTTTTCCCTTTGCAGAGCTGGGTAGGTGTAGCCTGTGAATGACTCATTTGGCTGCGGGCTGCCAGTTTGACACTGCTGCGCTAAAAGAATGCAATTGAACAGCTGTCTGCAAGAAATATAAATCCTTCCATTCCCCATCCAGTCAGACCTGAAGAAGTTTCTTTGATGAGAACGAAATGTCTTTAAAGAAAAACATGAAGGTCCAGTTGCCTCCTGAAAAAGCACCTTTGGGATGTATTGACATGTTATATTCCTTTACTACAATGGGCCTAAACACATTATTAAGCACAGTTATTCTTCCTCCACTTTTTCTTCTTTTCTAAAGTAAAGCTGCATAATGAAGAATTCTTCAAATTCAAAAGCTTGACTGTGCAATCTCCAATTAGCCTAATGAAGTTACTGCCTCAAATGAATTTCTGACTTTTTTCTCTGCATAGCTTATGTGACAGCCTTCACTTGGCACAAAATAGTTACAAAACATTTAAATATTTTTCCCTTGACTAAACATGTTAGCAGCTTTCAGCTTTATGACAATACTGAATCTTTTATTTATCACTTCCCAGTTCAGGCCATTAATTCTTGACCTCATCAGCCCAACTGTTAATGATTATCATTCTTACCGTATAAATACCAGTTTGACCTTTGATGGCGCTGTCTTAATTATCGCAGAAGCATTCTGGTGACTCCTCCCATATAAAATCTGGTTATTTATCTGTTTTGTAAAGAACATTTAGCACAGTTACCAATTAAAAAGAAACAACAGGTCCACTATTACTTTGTAATTTTATTACATTGGATAGCTCCCCCTCCCCCTTTCTCTCAATCTGATTTTGAGTTACAGCCAAAACAAAGAAAAGCAAAGGGTAAGGTGGATGAAGACACTGTAATTTCTTCTTTGAAAAACAGGATGTTTCTGGTTGTTGTTTTTTAAAACATTGCATTAGCCAATCATCTGAATAATGCTGATAATCAACAGGAAATAATTATGTTATTGCTATAATTTGGGGAGTAAGATTGATTGCATCAACATAATTTGGGGCATATGCCACTTCAAACAATATTACTGAATGTATTAGAAATGCTGCAGAATAAAGGAGATTTAAATCTTCAGTCCAGGAACCTATTATATTAAGTCAAGCCATATTGGAGCTTTAACTTAGTTTTCCGTTTTCCTTTCTAAAGTCATAGATCAGCATTACAGAAGAGATGTAAGCTCACCAGCAGATTCATTAAGGCAATGCGTTCAAATACACAAAAGGCAAAAAATAGTTAAGGGTAGTCTTTTTCAAGGCATTGGCTTGGAAATTTGAAATCATGGCAAAATTCCACGCGAAGCAAATTTTAACTTTTAGGTGTGTCTTTGCAAACACTCACAGGTATGCTAGCAGCTTTTTAAAAAATCTACTTTTTGTACAATTAAATTTCTGAGACAGAGAAAGACAGAACACACGCAAAATGATTGATTTAATGACCCCAATTTGCATGCAAGATGTGCATGTGTATATTATGCATCTTATGAAACTGTCAAGATTAATAAATGTATTGGGATATTAGTTGCTACAAAGATGCTTTTATACATGGGAAGTAGGAAATCTAGGAATGGAAGTATAAAGAAATTAAGGCTTTTTATTATAGCAAAATTAAAAAAAATACACTGTAAGGTGGAAAATATCATTTTCTATACACTGAAGTCGGAAAGAGCTTGAAAATCAAACAGTATTGTTATTTTCTATAGCTAGAAGCACTGTGAAAATGTGTTAAAACTGAATTGAGCTGTAATTTTAAAATAAATTATTGATGAAAGTGGGGAATTACATAAAATTAATTGCTGGATATATTGTATACATTTTTGTAAAGGTGATTCTTTTTAGGACTTCTTTTTAAGCTCTGAGTTGTGCCCTTTTAAATATAAGCAAAAATCCTTTCACTGAAAGTGTCCCATGTACATATGCCAAGGGTATAAGCTGGGGTGTCAAACTCGCGACTTCATGTTGTCGTCGTGTGATGTATCGTGATTCTGCCCCTTCGCTAAATCAGGGTGGGCGTGGCCAGCACATGGCACATCCGGCCCAGAGGCTGTAAGTTTGTCATCCCTGGTTTAAGCAAAACATGCTGTTCATTTTCAACAGCCAAATCTGATGTCACAGATTGGCACATTAAACACCTGCAAACTCTCAGGTGTAGATTTAATCAAATACAGGTGGTCCTCAACTTACGACTAGTGTTGAGCAAATTTATGCTGCTAAGTGAGAAATTTATTGAGTTTTGCCCCATTTTATGACTTTTCTTGCCACATTTGTTAAGTGAATAACTGTGCTTGTTAAATTAGTAACACAGTTGTTAATTGAATCTGGCTTCCCCATTGACTTTGCTTGTCATAAGATCATTAAACGGGATCACATGATTCCCAGAAGACTACAATGACCATAAATGTGAGTCAGTTGCCCAGAGCCTTAATTTTGATCACATGACCGTGGGGATGCTGCAATGGTTGGAAGTGTGAAAAATGGTCATAAGTCCCTTTTTCAGTGCAGTTTAACTTTGAACAGTTGCTAAATGAAGTTGCATGTTGAGGACTACTTGTAATGCTTCTAATGAAAAGTCAGAAAGTTTGATCTTTATTGGTAGGATGCAAAGCTACTTTAAGTATTATGAGCCATGGTGGCACAGTGGTTAGGGTACAGCACTACAGGTTACTTCTGCTGCTTGCCGGTTGCCTGCACTTTGGCAGTTCAACTCTCACAGGCTCAAGGTTGACTCAGCCTTCCATCCTTCTGAGGTGGATCCAGATTGTTGGGGGCAATATGAAGACTCTGTAAAACTGCTTATAGCACTGTAAAGCAGTATATAAGTTCAAGTGCTACTGCTATTATTGCTAATTTTATAAACTATGAATATATGTCCCTAAAACATAAACACACACACACACACACACACACACACAGCATGTTGTGGTTTCTTCTGAAAAACAAAACAAAACAAAGCTCAAGCATTTTGACATTTCTTGCTGGCTTCATGGAAGAATGAACTATTGTTTACTCTAATACTAAAATCTACTGATTTAAAGGCATTATATTAAGTGAAACACAGGCAAATAGGAAAAAGAAATAGCAAAGTTTAACAGGAAATAAGATCAATGAATGAAACAAAGCGGCCAAATTATGAACAAAAATTAAAAACATTAGTTTACCTAGACAGTTCCAATTGTAAGCAACAATTTTAGAGCAGATGGCATCATATATATTTCGCTGAAGGGGGATGTGGCATGTAAGATAATGAAAACTAATAGGTGAAATTTAAGGAAGAGGATGATATGGCTGTGTTTCCTGAAAGGAGCTCTATTAGTCTGAAAAATTATTTCCTACTAAACTGTTTGTTTTCCTTTTCTAAAACTACTTAGTTTAAACTGGGCACTCGAGGTTAACTCTTGATTTCTGATTATTTACGATCATATGTTTTTTAAGAACGTTTACATTTCATTATTATTATTTTCATTCTCTGGAGAAAATTTATGCAAGAATTAATATTCCACCCTTTAAAATTAATCTTATAAATGCTTTTTAAATGAACTATGTATAATTAACTGGATTTTAGAAAAAGTTGATTTAATTACTTAATTACTGTAGTGAAAAACAGAAGAGTATAGACAAATAATTTGGGGGAAAAGTGTTAAATAAGATAATTATTACAGTACCATTATTGTTATTCTCTTGTTTTAATACTTTTTCTTTGAAATAATAATAGTTTGCAATGAATCTGTATGGCTGGCTATTGTTGTAACCCACAAGCTAAAATTCTGCAAATGAAGAAATACAAGCAGGAGTTTATATGTCAGGGAATTTCAGTGAGGAAAGTAGATTCGACACTTTATCCTGCCTCATACAAATTTGTTTACTTATTTATTAGATTTGTGTGTCACACATTTTGTCTAGATCAATGTAAATAAAAGCTTTTCTCAATATTCTACAGTATATGTTGTGAATCCATAGTTATTTACAGCACAAATGGGGTCATTTTAATATTGTTTTGGTTCTGAAAAGGAAGTTTAAGACATTTATTGAAAGTAAAAGTTTTCCCAAGAAATGTATAAGTTAAGGGCATTTTCAGATAACCTAGTTTAGTTCTGAAGATCCTCTAAAAAACAGGCCTGTCAAACTGGGGCCCTAACCCTAACCCGAAGATACTGAAAATTGATGCACAATTAAAACCAGAAGTTTTTCTTTTAGACACATCAATTGAAAGGAAACATGGGACTTTGCTCTTACTGTGTAGATGATAACAGCAGCAAGACTTTTATATGTACAAAGGTGGAAAGTTACACAAAATCCTATAATTTAAGAATGGGTTGTGAAATTAATGGAGCTGAGTAATGTAGCAAAATTGGCCACTTTGACAAAAAGCAAAAATTGGCTAGTTTTGCTTTCCTTTGGAAGCCCCTTTTGGATTTCTTGGCTCACAAAGGATGGAAACACAGATTTGTAGATTTGATGGCTAGATCTGTTTCGATTATAGAAATATTCTGTAATGTAATTGCTTTTGTTTGTTCTGCATGTTCTACATGTTATGCCTTTAATTTTTGTTTAAACTTAAGAGTAAGAGGCAAGATTATTATATATCCGTATCTGCATTGAAGAAAATTGAAACTTACTCTTTTTCTATATCTTTTTTTAATATTTCTTTTCTTTTCCTGTTACACCTTTAATTTTTTCCTTCTTCTCCCCATTATTTTTTATTTTATTCAATTTGGAAATTTAATAAAGATATTTTTTAAAAATGCAATTTGTCTTGACATACCTATCTATATCAATCTTGTCTAATCTGTTAATCTTCAGATCTTTTGCATTTCAGCATAGGCCTACCAGATCTGCCCAACAGAAACCCAATTTTTAATATCTTTTTGCTGCTGTCTGTTAGTTGTTAAGATGCATTAGATCTACTTCAGCTCCCGTTATCCATCAGCTCTCATTAATTTTAGGTGACATGATCAACATATGCGGAGGCCCCACAAGGAGATTACAACACATGTGAATAAGACAGTTCTATATGATTGCTCCACAGGTCACATAGTTGAAATTATGTTGAAAAGCAGTTATTTTAAAGTGTGAAATTTCTGTAAGCGTTGAGTGTTTTTCTGAGTCTGAATTCTTTTTCTATTGGGCGAAAGAGTACTCTTTAAAAAAAGTCTGCATTTTTTTTCATCCAGTGCCTTCAAAGAACCTTCCTTTTTATCTTATTAATGCTTGCCAGACTAGCATTGTCTCCACATAGCAGATGAACAATTGAAAACGAGAGAGAATAAATAGCTTGCCTATCTGTACAGAAATGAACAGGTTGCTGAAATGTATGGAAGGGTCAGAGCCCAGTAGACGCATACAGGAATATGTTTGGTAGAAAGTTAAATAGCAAAACTGTAAAATAATGGAGGACTATTGAGAATACAGACTGACTAACTATAGAGCAGTTTTGTATGTTCTTATCCATGTACTTTTTGGATTAGTTAGAGTACACTTTCCTACAATTCTTATTGTAAACATGCCTTTTGCAGCTCCACTAAGAGGTCTCTTGGGCTAGGTGTTTCTGTCTCTGATTGCTGAGTGTGAATTTAAAATAAATCTTGGGGCAACACTTTTTTCCTGAGCCTGCAATGTCTATCGTGAGCTAGATGTTGCAAACACTAACTTAGCTAACTATTTACTGTTTTTATAAGACTACCCAGAAGTAAGTTTCAGTAAGGTGTTTCCTATTACCCTTAAATACTTTTATGGCATGGATCCAGGCTATCTGGAGAAACATTTCACTCCAATGGCATTCTCCTGCTCCACTCATTCCAGCACAAGAGACATTTTGCGGGTCCCATAAACTGAGGAATTGCAGCTGGCAGGGTCCAGGGAAAGAGGCCTTTCTGCTGTGGTTCCTGTCCTCTGGAGCATTGAGCCCCCTTCCACCCAAGGTAAGATCTTCCCTCATCCCTTTGGCCTTCTGAAAGGGCCTGAATCCCTGGCTCTGCCAACTGGCTTGGGGCACAATGATGGCTTCTGATTCTGGGGGTGGCCAATACATTAGATAAAATCCTACTTCCAGCCTGTTTACAGACTGTTTTTTAAATCTAATTTGTTGTTAATGTTAATGTTTTAATTTAATGCTTTATATTTTAATATTTCTAAGTTTTCCATAATCTATATTGTTACTATAAACCAGAGTTGCTTGATAGTGAGACAAGAGAGATATAAATTTAACAAATATAAGTTCTAATATGGATCACTGTAAAATAACTGAGCACAGAATGCACCTTCAGCTTTTAATACTAGCCCAATAGAAGGAAAAATGTATATAGAACAAATATTCCAAATAAAAGATATTCACCAAATGGAATTGCTACACTCCACACATATAAATTACATTGTTTTATAGGACAGAGAATACTTCCAAGTAGATGTCTCTAAGTACCACAAAACTGGGCAACATATTCAGATAATAAAATCCTTGCCTGAAAGCATCAGGAGCACTTTAATTACTCTGAAGTCTAGGTTGAGACATAAAAATTGATCTGTTTTTTGGGCAAAGGAAACATGTAGAAGGTGAGCAGTTTATAACTTCCCTATCATATAAGGGATGCGGTGGCTCAGTGGCTAAGATGCTGAGCTTGTTGATCAGAAAGGTCGGCAGTTTGGTGGTTCGAATCGCTAGTGCCGCATAATGGAGTGAGCTCCCATTATTTGTCCCAGCTTCTGCCAACCTAGCAGTTCGAAAGCATGTAAAAATGCAAGTAGAAAAATAGGGAGCACTTTGGTGGGAAGGTAACAGAGTTCCATGCACCTTCGGTGTTCAGTCATGTCAGCCACATGACCATGGAGACATCGCCAGACAGCGCTGGCTTGTTGGCTTTGTAATTGAGATGAGCACCACCCCCCAGAGTCAGGAATGACTAGTACGTACGTGCGAGGGGAACCTTTACCTTTGCCTATCATATAGAAACTCCCACCATTAATATTTGTTGACGGTTCTCTTAAACAACTGTTTTTCACCATGATCAGTAAAACCATTTGATTAGCCTTATATAATCAAACATTACCTCTAAAAGTTCATCTCCAATATGCATTCTTCCATCTTTTCCTGCAGGGCCATCTGGACTAATCCCCACAACAAAAATGCTCATGTGGGACCTATCCTTGTTGCCTGCAAGGCTGAGTCCAAGTCCATTCTTATCCTTTTCAAGTTCAATAATGTGCAATTCTCCAGGAAGTTCTGCATATCTTTGTCTGATTTTCTCTAAAAAAAAAGAGAGGGAGAAATATGTAGTACGAATAGGAAAGCATATTCTATGCAACATAAGCAACTTGTCATATTTACTCAAAGAAGGGTACCATATGCAGAATCCAGCCTATTTCAATCGATCTCTTTTGGAAGGTTATCTCACTGTTCTGATCACCAACTCAATAGGAAAGGTACAATAAAAATAAAAAAATAAAATGAATAGTTTAGTAGTTAGATAGGTACTATTGTTAGATAGGTACTATTGTTATTGATGAAAGAAAAATTCCAGAGGACAGAAGAAATGCCAAAACAATTTTTAGGGAAACAAATTTAAAAGCAAGATAAGAAAACAAGAAGATATCAAAGAGAAGACAACCATAGAAAGCTAAGCTCTAAGACAGAGGGAGATAAAAATTTAAAAGATGACAAGATTGCTTGGTTGCACCCTGAACAAGGACTTTCATACCATGGCATCTAGCTACTTTTAAGCAACCTGAATTTCTGCCAAGTTTTGCTTGGATGGAGCATCAATGAACGGTCAGAATAAGAATCGTACAGTATTAATTTAAAGAATGACACAAGACTACAAAATCATGTGGATGATTTTATCAGCGTCTGTCATGACTTCATCAGAGAAATGACTCCTCAGAGGGAGGAAACAGCTCCAGTAAACTGACAGAGCCACAAGCCAGGTCTTAATACAACATCTGGACCAGAATCAGTGCCATTAAATCAGGACTTTTATCTCATGCAGCCTATGTAAGATAAGATACGGTAGATAAGATAACCTTTGTTGTCCCTTTTCTGTGTGCACAATGACACACATTAAAATGAAATTCCAATGCCCACTCTCAAACGAAGAAATTATGTATATTTTATATATCATTAAAAAGACAACGAAGAATGTTTTTCTTGCATCAACTCAGAATGTTCAGGTTGCCAAGAAGCTGCTGATACAGTTCTATAGAGGAATTATTTAGTCTGTCATTTGTACTTCATTAAGTGTCTGGTTTGGCATAGCAACCAAACGGGATGGTAGAGACTTCTACGGATAGTTAGGACTGCAGAAAAAAAAAAAACAATTGCAATCAGCCTGCCTTCCACTGAGGATTTGTACACTGCACAAATCAGAAAAAGGGCTGAGAAAACATCTACAGACCTCTCACATCCTGGACATCATCTATTTCAACTTCCCCCCTCAGAACACAATAAAGAATTCCTATTGTGTTCTGTTCTACTCTACTCTATTCACATGTACTCATACAGTACACCCCCCCACACACATACATCACCACAGCGCATTTTGAATACATATAGTCAGGGGTGGGTTTCAAAAAGTTTAGCAACCAGTTCTCTGCCCAGTTGCTGGATGGGCGCGGTCATGGTGGGCATGGCCTAGTCAGCCTCCTGCACCATAGCGGGATGGTGGTGTTTTCACCTTCCCCAGGTTCCGGAGACTTTCCTCGAGCCTCCGGGAGGGCGAAAATAGCCTCCCTGGGGTCCGGAGGCCCTCTGGAGGCCAGAAACTTCATTTTTGTCCATCCAGATCATCCGGGAGGACAGTTTTTTGCCCTTCCCGAGCCTCTGCGTGGGCCATGTACTTACCTGGGATCCAAAACTGGCCTCATGGGGACTCCTGGGAGGGGTGGGGTGGGTGGGGCCAGCCAGAGGTGAGATTTGCCAGTTCATCGAACCAGCCATAAAATGGCTATAAAATTAGATTCCGGTTCACCCAAACCAGAGAGAACTGGTTAGCAGCCCACCGTTGCATATAGCAGAAAATCAACAATGATCGGCAATGTTGCTAGATTCAGTATCAGATTTGATACCAAAGCTAAGTAAGCTAAGTAGCCAAGATCCTGCAACTAGATCAGGCATAATAAGCACCAACTAAATAAGAACAGAAAAGTTATATCTTCTAATATTATGGTATCTTTTGAAATATAATCTGTTGATGGAAACAATATCTAATAAATTCAACCCTGTTAATCCAATTCTTTTTGTACTTGAATGCTGATCTAGGACCAGGATTTTATAGTTCTGGGTTTTATTGCTGAGAGCCTCCAAGAATTGTGTTTTAAGATGGGCAATCATCTCTCTTTCTCTCTGTGAGAATTTGTGTGTCTGTAAACCATACACAGATGATACATATATATATGGTTTAATCTCTCATTCCATCTAAAAGATAATATTATCGGCAAATAACATTAAAATAAAAATAAACGTTTCTATATAAACAGTAAAGTACAATCTGACAGAAGAAAACCTATTAAATAAAATTACAGATAATGCTATAGTACAAGTCACTCAAAACACAAAGGTAAAAGCACTTCTACACAAGGATTCTGTGTCTGTCTGAGAGCAGCTCTAGGCTTTTGTGATGTCTAAATGAGGCCTGTGTTCAAAAGCGGAGCTAATTTGTATCTAGCTCCCCTGCAGTGTTTTGGGAACAGCAGTAAAATGAATTTTTTTTTTCTTTAAAAAAAGCTACCTTCTTACAGATAACTGAGGTCGGCAGGTCTAAGCAGAACTGAACCTATTTGGTACTTGGAAATGAGACCATTAAGAAATTCAGAGGCTATTCTGTCTACTGAGGAATTTAAAACAGACAAAAATTCCTAGTGAATGGCAATGTTTGGGCCACCACATGTCCATCAGAAACATCACATAGACATGGAGTTCTGAACAGCTAAGCATAATTTGAGAGAGACGTTAGTTATATGTTCCTATCCAACTTATGGGCAACCCATTTTCCCATCTGTAGAAACCCAGAATATGGTCTTCAGGTTATTTTTCTGCTTTTTCTCACCCAACCTCATATATGACCAAACAACTGGATGTAGCATGAAGTAAAGGAAGTCAAGGAAGAAAGGACAGCAGCAATGCATCATATCCTTTTAAATATAGGAGGCTTTTGTTAGTGCAGGGAGGATCTATGCCATAGTTATGAATGATGGTCCTTGGGAGTCAAGCAGCTATTCTTAAGATGACTCCAAGCAGTACCACTCAAAAAATAAGGGTAGGGAAGCTTAATAAATAGAATCCAGTTAAAGAATTCAATTAGCCTTAACATGTAGTCAACACTGATTACAGCATGTTTGAGGGCCATTTCAAAGATACATTGAAAGACTGCAATGAACAATACTGTGGTGTTATGTCACTCCTTAGCAGAATACCTCCCACTCATTTTAATACCTTTTCATTAAAACAATTAGCCAATAAATACACAAGGCAGGATGTCCATTTCACTTTAGAGTTCAAGTATCTTATTGAGTCAATGGAATCAACATATCCTTTCAAACCAAATTCTATCATGATTATACTTTAAAACTGAAAATACAAGTTGTTAACTAGCTGTTACTTCTATTCTATCTGGAAAAAGAGTCAGGTCCTGCCTGTAGGAGACCTAGACCTAGACTTTGTGGGAAATAATTTATTGTTTTTATCAATGTCTTTGCCATTTCATGACTATTTTACTGTTCTCCTAAACTTTATTTATGGTATTGCCCACACTATATCTCATCAGATATATCATCAATATATCAAGATATATATTCAACTATTTGCATGGTATAAAATAGTTATTTTAAATAAATTTAAAATGATAATAATAATTATTTATAATTATATAATATATTTTTGAATCTTATGTTTGATGATCCCATTAATAAATGAATCAATATTCATATTTCAAATACTGAACAAAGCAGAACACTTTCCATGCTACCATTCCTACTAAATAAATGATGATGGCATGAACTGTTAAAATACACTGTTGTCAACATTAAAAAAAAACCATAGGAATGACATTGCTAAAAAGCATCTATGTAATATTTCATTTATGTAAAATAAAAGCTTTTGTATGGGAAGAAAAAATGAAACAGGCAAAATTTAAGCAAATGTTCAAGGATATAATTGGCTATATTTTATGTCCACAAGATACCATAGTTCAAAATCAAGTCTGAATAAATCTACAAATACTATGCTATTTTCCTATTGAACTGACTGAAGTTCAAGCTACTTGGATAAGGAGCGACACGTTTCAAACAAAAATGAAAAAAAATCCAGTTGCCATGATTCAAATTTCCAAGCAATTCCTTACTGAATGTTGCTAAGCGTAGATTAGTATTTGTTACTTTTCTTAATAACTATGTTAAATCCTTCCAATTTATTAAAAAGCATTTTTAAGAATAAATGTACTGTATATACATTTATGCAATATTACAATATTTAAATGTATCAGTGTTATGAAGACTTCTCCTTGGAGGTGATTGTGACAATTAGCAACAGGTTTTTACAAGTATTTTATATCATGCTACTGATTCTTGATTGGAGCTAGTATAAACATAGTGCTAAACAAAATTCTCAAGTACTACACAAGGATTCTGTGTCCGTTTAAAAGCAGCTCTGGAACTCTGTGATTTCAAAAGGATGCTCTTGCCTTTTGAATTGCCATTAATTCTGCAGCAACTTTTCATTTGTGCTAATATGGCACAAACTATCTGATATTTTCCCAATGAAATAATCATTTTCATGGCCTGCTTCACATGTAACACTTGTACAGGAATTTTAACCATATTTTGTTGAATGACGTGTTGATTAATATATAGCACTAAGGCCTAATAGGTGAATTGAAAATAAACAACTTCAGTATGGTTTAGCACAATGTGGGAACCAAGCCAAATTTTCACTTAATATCACTGTAGAAAAATGTTTTTTTCCCCTTGGTACAATTTATGTCCTGCCTTTCTCCTAAGTGAAAAGACTAAGTGCAATAATGCAAAACTCAACAGAAGTAATATGATATAAAACAAAGAAGCCTTAGAACTAAATTATGGCATCTTTCTGAAACTGATATATACAATATGTCCAAATTCTAAATCCCATATTGAAACATTTGATCCAACTCAAAAGTGTAGATGAAATGGTGGTAAAGCCTCATTATGGCATGAATGGGTGATGAGCATGCATGTGTATGTATGACATCTCCTAAAGCTAAAGGAGTGTGCAGTTGT